TTTACCGAAAGAACCAAGAAGATGAATCCCTGCAGTCACGAAAGCTTTAAATCGAAAAATTGAACCACAAACACTCGATGAACGCGCTACCCGCTCGGCCGTCTCACCGTCCCCCCTTCCTGTGCCCCGGTGCGTGTGGTGCAGTGGAGGGGCATGTGCGGTCGTACGTACGTTGAACTTCTTTCGCACCCTACGTAGCCAACAGTGGCAGTCGGAGGTGCGGGGGAAGGACAACAAACTTAACACAAAGTACTTGTAAAGAAATGAGTTTTCAATCGAGATGATTTTAAAGTGCATAGGTCCAGTGGCTTCCTAATATCGGAAGGACGAGCGTTCTAGAGGGCCGCAGAAGCACACCTGCAAGCGCCACGCGATGTTTGCTGAGCGGACGGCGACTTGTTTCAATGTCACGTGATCCCTGGCTCTGGCTGCCAGATGAAGAACTTGTACGATTGCCAGAATGCAGATGCCCCCTGAATGGGAAGATTAGGGGCTCTGACGGTCGCGTTAATAGTGATATTTCTTGTCTGCTTCCCCGCGTGGCAATAAGTCTGCGGATGAACTAAACGTACGAGAGATGACAAACGTGCCGTGAGCATAAACTTATGAAGGTTTGGCGCAAGAAGCGTTTTGGACGCCTTAATCTTAAAGGGTTGTGGGAGACCTCGAGGATTGATGATAATCGGGACATCAAGCCAACACCTCTGATGGGTCTGGGTTTGAATCTGGGTGAGCAATCACCGTTTACTAAAGCAGGTTAATCTCGTGTAGTGAGTTTAAATTTTATTTTTTATTTTACCAGGTAAGGCCCGACTGAGCTCTACAGCTCTTTTTCAGAAGTGACCTGGCAATCACAAATTACACTGGTCAACAAAAAAAAAACATTTTTTTCTGGCCTGGACTTTTGCAGCTGTTTAAGACTAATTTCAGGGTGCTGATTCCAAATCTGATGTCAGATTTGCTCTATCACATCTCATTTTTATGCTATCGGCATACCCCATTTTCATTGATTTTATCCGAAATTAACTCTGTCACTTATGATTGCAAGTTGTTGCGAGCCAGTGACTGCTTTAGTGTTAAAATATGGTGCTGTATTTTTAGGATAGTGTGTTTGTAATATCATTTTATGTAGATATACACATTTATTTCATATTTTTCTTCTGCAGTTTTTATTGAAAATGCAATATTTGATATTTCAAAAACCTGATGTGATAGACAAAAACTGATGCCAGATTTGGAATCAGCACCCCAAAATTATTTTAAAACCGTTGGAATACCTTATGCCAGAAAAAGTGTGTTGACCAGTCTTATAGTTCAACAGAAGTTGCTTATCACGTGGAAATTAATTGAGCAGCCCAATACTCTGAGCGCACGTCGGTTCTAAATGTGGAGGGGAAAACCGGAGGGCCCGGAGAAAAATCCACGGGAAGAGAGACACGCAAAGTCCAAATATACAGCATCAGGCGTCAAGAGTCGGTATTGAACCCACGACCTCCTGTACACCAGGCGAGGTGGTTAACATCTCATAGCCACCGTGGCACCCAAGGTGTCAGCCTGGTGGTCACTAATGGCCGCACGAATAATCGTACAATGTTTACGTTTCATTTAGACCCCGCGTTCGCGTATGGGGCTCTTGAAAAATAAATAAATAAACATGCGTACTCCCTTTGCCGCCATGAAGAGCGGAGGTTTGCTGATGGAATGTCGATGGGTTGCTGACCAGCCGGTAGTTTGGGAAGGAAGTTTCCTTGGCTGACATTTAGCGCAGAAAGCCTCAACCGGGGGACGTAATCGGTGGTGGATTTAAACAAAGAACTCTCTGAAAGGCGTTACGCACTTTTCATCTCCCGTTCTCAGGTCCGTCTCATTGGGCGACACGGTGGCGAGATGTTGTCTGCCTCGCCTGGTATGCAGGAGGTCGTGGGTTCGATCCCGACCCTGACCCTTGCTGCTGTATATTTGGAGTTTGCGTGTCTCTCTCTCATCATCATCATCACGGTGGCTAAGAGATGTTAACTACCGGGGGTGTCGTCCCGACCCTGATGCCTGTTGTATATTTGGAGTTTGCGTGTCTCTCTCTCATCATCATCATCATCACGGTGGCGAGGAGATGTTAACAACCTCGCCTGGTATGCAGGAGGTCGTGGGTTCTATCCTGACTCTTGACGCCTGCTGCTGTGTATTTGGAGTTTGCGTGTCTCTCTCCCCCCGTGGTTGCGTGGACTTTTCTCCGGGTCCTCCGGTTTTTCCCCTCCACATTTGCGGAAAATTGCGCATAAGAGTATAAACTTCCACGTGAAAAGCCAATTCGTTGAGCTAACATTTGTGGCTGGGTCGCTTCTGAAAAAGAACTACATAGGGTCAGTGAGCCTTACCTGGTAAAATAACTAAAAAAGTAAATAGTTTAACTACATTTGAGATACTTTAAAGATGTGGGTATTTATCGACATTGTTATCGTGATGGGGTTTTACATATTTTTTAGTGAAGTGGGCAGAGCATATCAGCCGATCAGGGCTGTGATTCAACAGGGAGAAATCAGTTTTGCCCGCATTTCCTGCCTAGGGAGGAAAAACTCGTAAAATAACTACACCTGGTTGCACGTCACCGGACAGAGCTGACTCAAGTCACCCACGCCGCGATGGCGATTGAGCGTTCCAGCTTCGTGTGCGAGGTGTCCAAAACGCTCTGGACGCGGGCGGCATGCTGGCGCCCGTGGCAACGCTTGTGCCTCCACAACAAGAAGGGGCCTGGGTTCGATTCCTGAGCCTGGGGGTGTCTTTTTGCGTGTGAGGTTTGTATTCTCTTCCCGCCGTTCTGCGTGGGTTTTCTCCAGGTTCTCCGTCACTGGTGTTGGCCGTGAGCGGGAATCGAACCCGTGTCGCCGGGTTCATTGCGCAGCGTAGCGCTAACCGCTACACTATCGCTCCCCACTGCCGCACACACACCCACTGACACACACCCACTGACACACTCACACACTCAACTGACATCTCGCTTGCAAATGTCACCAATGCTGTCGTTCACTCCCGCCCAGCGATTCGACGAAATCATCGCAATTCGGAATCACAATTTGGGTTCCAGGACTGGTCCCTTTTTATTTTGTCTCCAGATATGAAACAAATTATTTGGTGATGCTGCTGCTGGTGCTGCTCCCAGTGGTGGGCAGGCACAACCAACAGCATAACCCCCACTCCCTTGCGACATTGTGGGCAATGGGACCGTCTTCGTAGCTTGCGTGTGGATTTTTTTGTTGGCTTTGCCGTCTCGCTCTTGCACCGTCTAGTCTGTGTCGTCTGCCTCGCATCGCTGGCTTGTTCCACCCTGTTCTCCCCGCTCGCCCGAGGCCAACGCTTGCAGTTGGAACAGATTGTAAATAAATCATTCTTAAGACGCACAACGTTGCGCATATTGTGAGCGCACGAATCAATTTGAATCGATGAATCAATAAGTCGATAACTTGCCTTGTAATTGGTGATGGTGGGAAGCGGTGGTGGCACGCCTGCACCCTGCACCTGCATCAGAGTGTACACGTAGCTCTTGGTCATCGTCAGCAAACACCGTAGGCCCCTGGTTCTTTGTGGTCAGAATAAACCTATAGTCGGCCTGTGCGCTGGCCATCGCTCGGCCCGCTTGCAGTCGCACACGGTGGCGACGTTTGCCACAGCGAAGATCCCCGTTGCGGGAGAGAGAAACCCGCTTGTGATGAGCTGCAATTTATACCGTGTTCGTTTTTGCTTACTGGCGATTGTACAACGGCTGTGATGTAGTGGCCAGGGTGAGGCACGTGGTGAGCTTTCATAACTGCCATCATCATCATCATCGTCGTCATCATAATTGTTTTTGTTTACGACTAACATTACTCACTGGGCGAATGCGAATGACCGTGCATTTTTTTTGTTGTGCCGACTCCCCGAGCCGCATTGTGCGTCGTAGGTTAGACAATTAATTTCCCGCGAGAGCCACCCATTGGCCCCTGCAGGGGCAACCACCAACTCTGCACGCGCTCGAAAGGTGGCGGCAGAGGTCGCAACCGGGTACCCGATACCCGTACCCTACCCGATACCCGGCTACCCGTACCCGGCCAGGTACGGGTACGGGTACCCGTTTGCGACCCTGGTGCGGCCGGGTACGGGTAGGCCGTGAGTCACTGGTGAGTAACCGTTTGTCACTCATTTCGGGTAGAGTACGGGTACGGGTAGGGAACGGGTACCCGTTGCGGAGCCACAGATTGCCGACCCCTGGACTGTGCCCATAATAGGGTTTTTTGTTTTTTTGGGTTAGATCGCGTAAATGTAACTGTGTCGTAATAGGTTTTTACCCTTTCAACTGGTACAAAAACTGACACCTTTATACAAGGCATCATGTTTGCAATAACCACAACACAAGCAGTCAAAATGCAAACAAACAGAAACAACTCTAATGGTGATAATGATATGCACTGTCCTTGAAGTTGATCAACTTGACAGTGCATATCATTATCATCATCAGAGTTGTTTCTTTTTGTTTGCATTTTGACTGCTTGTGTTGTGGTTATTGCAAACATGATTCCTTGTATAAAGGTGTCAGTTTTTGTACCAGTTGAAAGGGTAGAAACCTGTTACTATATTTTGACACTGGTAAAGGAGATGTCTCATAGTGTAGCTGTGTCGTTAAACCCGCCACCATCACCTGGCACGGCCAGTTAGTAAGGTTTGTGTCACGTAAACAAAACGTGCCAGTTGGTTACCAGTTCAGCGCACCGATCGTGTGTTGGAGAGTGAACCCGCTACAACGTCTACAATACCGTGACGTTTCGCCGGTATTTACAACAAGCAGCAACAAGCAGCATCATCAGGCGACAGCCGCAGAATTGTGGACAAATCCTCCTACCGTTTCGGCCTCAAGCAGAGGCACTATGTGCACGTCAGCTGCTGTCAAACGTCTTTGCCGCTTGTTATTGTTGTTGTCGGCGGCGATGTCGTCGCTCATGTGCCCGCGTGCTGCTGTGTTGGCCCTGCAGGGGACAGCTACGACGTGTGTGCCATCTGCCTGGAGGAGTACGAGGAAGGGGAGAAGCTCCGGGTGCTACCCTGCGCTCACGGTGAGTGCCTCCGCAGAGACGACACGGCTCCAATGGGGGCCAGCGCCAGCCACCGAAGTGACAATGCAATGCTCCGGAAATTTCATCATCAGCAGCAGCAGCATCATCATCCTCATCACTCGATTTGCATTTAAAAAAGACAAAATAACATTATATTGGTAGGAACCTCCTGGTTACACCAGCCCACAGGGGATTATTGTGTCCGTCCGTCGTGCATCCAAAAATGGGAGAGTGAGCGGTGGGCCATTGGGGCCCCAACCAGGCAGAGGCCAAAGTTGTTAGTGGCCAGCGGGTACCTTGGACGCACAGGCCAGCCGGAGGGCCCGGAGAACAACGGAACATAACAGACAGCGAGCCTTGAGATCTGGCAGTCCTTTCGTTTTGCAGACGCCAATGTTAATGCAAATAGAGTATCGGCGTCATTGTAATACGGTAACAACACCGCCGACTGTGCCAACACAGCTGCTAACGCTAACAGCTTGACCCTTATCTCATCGGCAATAGCATTTGCCTACGCCCCACCCCCGCAGTGCAGCGCCCGTTATCTCGAGATTAGTCCACGTTTACCTCCCGGGAGACCGAATCCAAACACAGCCATGACCGACCCCAGCCGAAGCGCATCGTTGCTCGAACAGCGTCGGGCGTGGAGTCAAGATACTGGACCAATCGCAGCAGCAGCAGCGTCGTTATTCGCTCTTCCTGTAGTTCACCGTGGCCGGGCGGCCGTTGAGTGCCGGTGCCGGTGTTGTAAGTGATCGCCGTGTACGCTACGCAACAAAGAGCCCACCCCACGTGTCGCTTTCACAGACCCTTGGTGGCCAAGTGCTACTCGCACTTGGCCCAACAGCCTCCTAAAGGCTGTGCGCGGGAGTTACTTTGTCTTTGTTGCAATCGCAGCACCGTGAGAGGTGGCGACGGCTTTGGGGGAGGCCACCATCCGACAGCGCACTGATCGTGGCCGCCGCCAACGACGACGACGACGACGACGACGACGATGATGATGATGGTGGATTGCTGTGGGCCGAGTTGACTGAACGAAAGAACTCCAGGGCCTGGTTTCAGATACCCATTGCCATGGTCAGGAATTGAACCTGAGTTTGCCAGGCCCCATAGCACCGTTGCGTTCCTTACAGCAGTTGCACACCATTCCATAGACGTGCATGCCAGCAATCACGATTGTCCACGTTTTAGAAATGACAACGCAAATGACTTAATTGGGATCACGTGTATATATATACGGACGCACACACACACACGTACGGCGTAACACGCCGGCTCTGTCTGAAAAGAGTCTTGTCATCACAATTTGAACTCACAATTCGTCAAAACGATGTCGCGAGAACTCGTCTTGACTCGCAGCACTCCACCACATTTTTTGATCGGGGGTTGCGAATGATGGCGGGGGGGGGGGAAATAAATAATGATCACGTTTTTTTATTATTGTATAATATACCGCGCACCACCACCAATACGTTATTATACATATATACTGCATGCAACGCAACCTTCGCATACACTACTGCGCAAAAAAGATCACCCTCCTGATAAAAACAGTCATGGGACCCTGAGCGTAGCTTTCCTGGCTAAACGAACGTGTAATCGGTAATCGTGGCAATCGGTAATCGTGGTGAATGAATGGCTTGACAAGCTCCTCTGTAAATTTCGATTTAAAGCTTTCGTGACTGCAGGGATTCATCTTCTTGGTTCTTTCGGTAAAGTCACGTAGAAGGGAAATAATAAAGTAATATAAATAAAATATAATAAAATACAATTCTCACGATGTTTCGGCCACAACGCAAGCAGCCGTCCTCATTCAGACGCTGTCTTTCCGACAGACCTGGTCTTCACCTGAGGACGGCTGCTTGCGTTGTGGCCGAAACGTCGTGAGAATTGTATTTAATGATGTTCTATTTACATTATTTTATTAATTCCCTTCTACGTGACTTTACCGAAAGAACCAAGAAGAAGCTCCTCTGTAGTTCGAAGCAAGTCACGTGGCCCTAGCCGTGCCCCGAAGTGAGCTGCAGGCGGGCAAACGTCTGAGCACACTCGGCTCACAAGCCTAGACATGAATCGCTCCCGAAGGGGTCCCGTGCCAACGGGAGAGGCAATGGACTGTATGTATTTTTTTTTCTGTTCATGAGCGAAAAATATCAAGGGCCCCAGATTAAAAAGTGAGTGCGAGCGACGAGGTGAAACGTTGCGTCAGGGTCAGAGCACTTCGTGTGTCGACTGCCAGCGCGATTCATGCCTCTCCGCCGAAATATAACGAAGTCTTCTACCTACTGCTACTAATTTTACACGCTTTTATTTCACTCACTCTGTCTGTCGTTGTCGTATCCTCAAATGTTGTAACTCAATTTTAACCCACTTCCCAATGTGATATCGACTGCAAACTTGGTATACTTATTCATTCTAGATTTGAAGCTTTCGTGACTGCTAGGATTCATACTCTTAGGTTTTTTCGGTAAAGTCACGTAGGTAAAAAATAATAAAAATAATAAAAGTAATAATAAAAATAAAATAATAAATCACGACGTTTCGGAAGCAACACAAGTCTCCGTCATCAGGTGGGACCGTCACAGCTAGATTTACTGTATCAAGTGAGGCTAATGACAATACTATATTCTATCAAAAAAAAACGTATTTTTAAACATTATTTTTTATATGTTATGTTTCGGCTTGGGTCTAATAGTCCACACTCAACTGACGTTGACTGTAAATCACCACGGCCCCCTTACGTTATGGCAAGCCTCGGGGCCACTTCCTGGAGTCGTGGAGTTCTGCCACTACTACTAGTTAAGGTACATTTCATTAAAGCGTGTTTTAAAAAAAGTATTGTTAAATATTACTTATTTTTTGACCAGCTAAAGCCCACTGAGCTGTAATAGCTTCTTTTGTCGGACGCGACCTGCCCACCACAAATGATAGCTCAACGGGGAGTGGCTTATCGCGTGGGAATTTATAGCAGCAGCAAAAATATTCGAAAGGCACGTTTCTAAGTCTCTGCTGTCGAGCCGTGATCAATCCATCGCCTCCCCTAGCCGGTCATTCAGCCCCCCCTCCCCACTCCACAATCCGTACATCCCACGGTGAAAGAGTTCACCTGACGTGAACCGATTCCATCGCTCCGTCTCCTCTCGTGCACGTTCCATCCCTTGGTTGCCACTGGAGCACTGCTCTTGACCGGTTGCCCACCGTCACTGAGAGCTCACGAGTGCCCAAGTCCCATTTACTTTTCTGAACAGTTTTAGCCAACGCTTTATTTTTCACCTGCATATTTTTTATCTCAACTCCACACCGCCGTTCCTCTTTCGATCTTTCTCAGTGCGTCATGCCGAGCGTGGATCTCTCCCCCGCTTCGTTTCGGTTCAGTTTTCTCCACGAACGTCGCGTTTCTGATCCGTGCGTCGTAGCGGGGGGATACTGGTGTTTAGGCCATATTCATTCAAACAGATTTGAATGCGCTGTGCAACCAAAAAGTTACCGTTACCGTGAACGCGAGCGATCGATCTAAAAGCTGACCCTGAAAGAATTGAGAAAAGACGCTCAAAATTATTTCAGCCGTGGTGCCTCTGCTGAGTGGAATGATATTATGTCTGGGCTCTGCGTGTCATTGCTACCATCTTGATAAACACGTATTTTTTTCACAAACATTAACTTTGTTAAGTCAGCGTTGGAATTTTTTTAATTTTTTGAAAGCTCACAATGCGGGCGGACGTCGCTGGTTCCGTCTTTAATTTTTTTGCCCCCTGCCAACGGCCAAAACGGGCCGGAACTCGCCCCACGGAATTTTTTTGTCGGATCTCGAAAGCTTATGCGGGTCGCGTTGAGCCTGGATAGGTCGACTAACAACTGCGGATGGCACGGGGGGGCGGGGGGGTGAAATCCGTCAACATCCGCCAATGTACTCCTATGCTCCCGCACCTACACTCGCCACGCTCACCAACCCACGCTCACCGCCGGTGTGGTGGAGTATCGCTTGAACTAAATTCAACTGAACTAACTCATTTATATTTTTACCGGGTTAATGCCCACGTGGAAATTTATAGCAGCCAAAGAGTCTTTTAAGCGCATGTTTCTAAATGTGGAGAGATAAACCGGAGGACCCGGAGAAAAATCCACGCCACCACGGGGAGAACGTGCAAACTCCGAATATACAGCAGGTGTCAGGGTCGTCGGGATCGGACCCACGACCTCCTGCATACCGGGCGAGGCAGATAACATCTCGCCACCGTGGCGCCCCGAACCACATGGACATTTCTTACAAAAAGACAAAGATTTCAGCCGTGTGACCATTTTTTTCCCAGATCTTTTTATGTAAGTTTATTGTGTCACCTGCACCATGAACCCGGCCACGGCTAACGTCGGTGGTGGCGAGTGACATCTGAACCGGTCCTCAGGTGCCCCCCCCCCCCTACCAACCCCCGCACCGACCAGCGTGGTGAAGTATGGTCACACAAACCCCCTGTGGAGAGATGGAGGGCGATGCGCTCATCCAACAGTGGATTGACAATCGGCCTGAACGCAGTTACGATGGTAGTCCATGGGGGAGGGAGGTGTCGGGGTGGGCCCCCCCCCCCTCACCTTGACCAACCCCCGCACCGACCAGCGTGGTGAAGTATGGTCAAACAAACCCCCCCCCCACCGCCTTCAATTTTTAAATACCCCAGGGGAGATGACAGAAGCAATGTAGACAAAACAGACATGCAATGAGATAAGGGACACGTGGATGCAGACGAGATAGAGATGTGCGATTATTTGGCGTCTCACGTCGCTCGACTTTGTTACGTTAGGATTTGCATTCGAGACTAAATGTTGAGGCACCCTTCTCAAAGCAGGGGGGGGGAGGCCCTTTGAGCTGCTTGAGGAGCTAAGATTTTGCTCGGTGCTTAGGCCCAGCGCCACCGCTGCTGCCTGTAACGTGGACATGTGGTCCAAATTTGCTCAATTACTCCATAAATTACTTTGCAGGGAAGTCACAAAGCAACATCACCCCCCCCCCGCCCCCCAGATTACTGGCAGCCCAGTGGCCACTTGCAGGCAGGTGACGCATGCACCTCGCGGCCCACAGGGACAGCTGCCACCACCAGGATCGGGGTTCCACGCTCCACAGCGCACCCCGCGGTGTTACCGCGTGGCAGGCGCGTGACGTGTACACTGCGAATATGCTGCTGATGATGATGCTGCTGATGATGCTGATGGTGATGCTGCTGATGATGATGACGCTGCTTATGATGATGCTGCTGATGATGATGATGACGCCGCTGATGATGCTGCTGCTGATGATGATGATGACGCTGCTGATGATGATGCTGCTGATGATGATGATTCTGCTGATGATGCTGCTGCTGCTGATGATGATGATGCTGATGATGATGCTGCTGCTGCTAGTGATGATGCTGCTGCTAGTGATGATGCTGCTGATGGTGATGCTGCTGCTGATGATGCTGCTGCTGATGATGATGCTAATGATGCTGATGGCGGGCCCGCCGGCCACGCCGCTGTCGCCGCACACGCAGCGTTCCACTGCAAGTGCGTGGACCCGTGGCTGACGCAGCAGCGCAAGAACTGCCCCGTGTGCAAGCGCAAGGTGGTGCGCTCGCACGGCTCCGACTCCGACTCCGAGTCGGACGCCGAGTCGGGCGCGCGCGGCGCCGGCGGCGCCAGGCCGCGACGACGACGACGACGACAACGACGCCTCCGAGACGACGCCGCTGCTGCGCTCGCCGGCGGGACGCCCGCCGGCGCCGTCTTTCGGCTCCACGGCCGGAGCCTCGAACGCCGCCGCTGCCGACGACGACGACGAGGACGGCGGGCGGAGGGCGGCCGCCGATTCGTCCGACGAGGAAGCGGGGAGGGGGCTCTGCGGGCCGCGCGGCGCCGCGGACGGCACCGAGGCCCCGGAGGACGGAGGAGGGCACGGCAGGAGACGCAAGGGAGACGCGGAGCGTCCGGCGGCGTCCGCCTACCGCGACGCCGCCGCCGCCGGCGTCACGGTACAGGTCCACACGGACAGCGGGGAGGATCGCCAGGATCGTCCCGGATATGGCGGCGGGCGGGGAGGTGACCCCGCGCCGACCCTGATCATTTAAACCGCGGCCGCCGAGGGGACGGGCGCGGTGTTTCTCCGTTTGTTCGTTTCTCCGTTGGTGCGGGCGTTTCAACGGTGGAGAGCGATCCGTCGGTGAACGTCGGTTTGCGTGCGCGATCGCGCGGATCGAATCGCCCGTCGAAGAATGAGAATCGAGCGCCGTCCTTTTTGTTGTTTTGTCAGTTCCCCGTAAGGTTGCACGTTGAAATAAAACAGTGTCGGAGGCCCTCTGGAAAAGGAGGGATTGGAAGGAAATTGTGGTAGTCGGGAGGGGGGGAGGGGAAGTCCACCAGTGGAAAAGTTCCAGGCCGACGACGACAACAACCGCAGCTCATGCACACGTTGTAGGTCATTGGCTAACGTGAGACAACCCCCCCCCTCCCCCGCACCCCCCTCCCCCGCAGCCAACTCGATACACAAATCCGTTCGCGCCAACGGCGTTCGCAGGAGAGGGAGACGACACTCGAATGGACTCGACGGATCCGTAGGGAGTCCGGCGAAGGCCAATTGGTTTTTAGACGCCTCCCGTTGGATTTATTTTATTTTTTGGCCCCCCCCCCCCCACAATCACGGCATACCTCCCTCGTGGTGAAGTATGGTGAAATAAAGCCTCGTGGTGGGGGTGGGGGGGGGATTGACAATCGGCCTGAACACTGCCGATAGCCCCCTTGACCTAGGGCCGGAGGTTTTGTTGCAGGTCTCTCTCGCCCCCCCTCCGCCTTGCGTGGCGGGACCGGGCCGTGCGGCCTGCTTGGAGCTTCCCCGGCCGCTTTGTAACATTTCGTTGTTTTCGCTTGATCTCTCAACGTTGTGACGTCGCCAAACAAAATAGCCGCCGGCGGGGAGGAGGAGGCGATCGATTATCAGCGGCGATTACTAAACGAAAACAAACTGTTACTGTTCTTTTGGTAATGTTCTTGAATATCGATCAATCGATCGATCGATTTTTTTTCTTAAACTGATTATCGTTTTATTGTTGGAACTGGGACAGGTGACTCGGCGGTTGATGGGGGTTTAGCACTCAGCTATCATCTCTCCAGGGTCAACGAAGTACCATTTTATTTAGAGACTTGCTCCCCCCCGCCCCCTTCCCCATCATAGGAATGGGGAATTTCCACCACTGGCTCAGTCCTGTAAATAGATAGTGGATTAGCATGCTGCGATGCTCATTTTAACAAGAAATTTATGTAAAACTAAAAAAAAGTTTAACTTTAAATTTCCATGTAAAGCTTTCGTGACTGCAGGGATTCATCTTCTTGGTTCTTTCGGTAAAGTCACGTAGAAGGAAAGTAATAAAATAATGAAAATAAACATAATATTATTTTATTATGTTTTATTTTTATGTTTTATTTTAAAAAAGAATAAAAATAAAACATAATATTATTTTATTATGTTTTATTTTTATTATTTTATTACTTCCCTTCTACGTGACTTTACCGAAAGAACCAAGAAGATGTTTAACTTTAGTTTCATTCGCAACCCACGACGAGTTGTGCCTTCGAGCAGTGCGACAGCTTCCAAACAAAAACACGAGCGAGCGGGCGGGCGAGTTTGAAAAGCTTGCGTAGGTACGATATCGGGGGACGAGCCTAACAATGTCCACGCTGAAACGCCGCTTGCAACGCGTTGGGGCTGTGAGAAATAAGCGAACCGCGCGGCCCTAGTGTGCCCGGGCCCCCCTTATTTCGTGGGTCATCTGCCGCAACGCGATAGAGACAAGGCGGTGGGGTGAGCGGCCGTTGCCTCGCTAGTTACGCGAGAGCCCCACGCCGTCCTCGCTCGCCCGCGCTCTTCCGCCCTGCGTTCCGTTTTCGTGCCGCTCCTCTCGACATCGGCAGCGGTCCCCCCGTGGTCGTTTAGTCAGAACGGTGTCAGCCCCCCCCCGCAACCACCGCCCCTCCAAATCACCCCCCGCACCCACTGCACCCACCGCCTGTTGGCTTTCATCTTTTAAAGTGAACGGTTGTTTTAAAGTTATTTTCAGTTGTGGATGGCGCTCCGCTCCCCGTATTTTGTTATGGTAAATCAAGGGCTACTGAAACTAGACTTTTAAGTGCATGCTGTGCCGGGAAGAAAGTGTGACGTTTGTTTTCTCAATACATTTCCCCGACAATTATTCTTATTTTCTGATCTTGTAATTGTAAGTTAGGTGCCAATATGTATTTAGCATACGATAAGTTACTCCTGCGTAGGTGTCCGCGGTTGTGCTGCTGCTGCTGCTGCTGTGCGTAGCTCTCGGCCGCGTGTTCTGGTTGTGCCGCTCGCCCCGACGTTGTTCGCCACGAGGTCTGACGTTTCGCTCCACGTGCCCGGGACCTTCTTCTGGGACTGAATTGAGCCTCGTACTCTCTCGCTCGCCGTGGCGAGATGTTATCTCCCTCGCCCGGTGTGCACGAGGTCGTGGGTTCGATCCCGACCCCCGATGCCTGTTTTATATTTGGGGTTTGCATGTTTTCTTTCCCCATGGGCCGCGTGGAGTTTTCACCCGTGTCCTCCGGTTTTGCTCTCTCCACGTTTAAAATCCACGTGCATTTCGAGTATTTTGCCTGCTGTACATTGCAACACGATGAGCCACTTTGTTGAGCTATCATTTGTGGCCAGGTCGCTTCTGCAGAAAGAGATACACACAGCTCATTGGGCTATGTAGCTGGCGCTGCTGTGTTGGTTCAGCTCTTGACGTAGGTCACTCGCTGTTGGGTTTCATCCTCCCAGCACGTGCGGCGAAACGTCGAGACGTTGCGTCCAAACAACACGCGGTACAACCCCTGAAATGTACAGAGAGCTGTAACACGAAGTTCTTTATAGTGCTATTAATAAGGAGCATTTTTGTATTTGCCCGTTACCACTGTCAATGCAGATTTATGTTCACGCCAACGTTAACCCTGACCGCACCACCGACCCACCCACCCACCCACGAATTTGTTAAACACCCTGCAAGGGAGAGGCCCCGGATCCCTGTAATTCCAGGGTCAGTTCGGTCTTCACGATCGGTCGAGATGGGTTGGAGGCAGCGGTGACTTTGTGTCGAGCTCTCTGTCTCGCGTAACTCAACATCAGCATCTCGCACTCGCTCCCAAACTCTCATCCGCACACATCCCACACCCCCCGTCCTTCATCTTCACTTGCATTTTATTTGCTTCATTGGTTCGCACCGTACGTAGCCAACTGTGCTAATCGGAGATGCGATTTGTGTTTCGTGCAAGAAAAAATGCGTTGCGTTGCCGTCCCCCCCCCACGCCCCCCGCCACACTTCATCGCAATTTGTGGAGTTAATGCAGAGTTTACCGTGTACATATAGAATCGAAATAAATAAAAATACACGATTTAAAAAAGCGGACCCAACGACGTAAGATGTTTCAAGTGGCTCGGCCGCTAACAAACACCGTGCACGTTTGCGGTGCTGGTTTGCGAAATCGGACGTTCATTTCTTTCCGAGTGTTGACGATGGTTATTCTCATGGGGATTGTCACTGGTCCTTGCCGTGTACTCGAGCCATCGATGCAAGCTTGCTTTTACGTACCATTAATCCATGTGTGTGTGTGTATGTTGAACTTTTGGCAACCGTACGTGGCCAACCGCACTAATTGGAGGTGCGGTGGAAGGACAGAAAACTACGCGCAACAAATCGGTTCTAAAGAAATGGGTTTGCCGATCTAGACGACGATGATTTAATAGCGCACAGTTCAAGTGGCGTCCTAATTTCGGGAAGGAAGCGCGTTCCAGACGGCCGCAGAAGCGCATCTGAAAGCGCCGCGATGCGGTGGCCAGCAGAGAGAGAGAATTACCCTGGACGGCACATCAAGGCCATGCATGTCACCTTCTCAACCCTCCAAATAAACCCACTTCACAAATTGACACTTGAACTTTTTTTCGTGCATTTTTTTCAATTTCGTGAAATGCAAGTAGCGTCCAAAGCTGACGATAACCGGTGCAATTTATATTTTTTAACAAAAATCCCGTTCCTGAAATAGCTTTGCTTAATAAGCGTTCTCACCCACGTTGCTTCATTTACCGTGGACGGCTGCAATACCGGGGAGTCGGCAGAGTTGCGTCCGGGGTCTGCAACTCCGCTTTGCCAACTGCCCTGGTTCTTCCCCTAGGATTGTCCTTTCTGTTGTTTGTGTGTTTGAGCCGGGAAATCTGTCGGTCGTCCCGGGGACAATAATGTGCATTTCTGCTGCCGCTGCTCTATTTAAGACCGGGAGCAAGAGCAGAGCCTCACCATTCTGGCGATTTGCCCGATGATGCTGGATGCAATTACCAGCGAAACGTCGTACTTAATTTTTTTTTTATGTTGTGGTTTCACACTTCAACACACCGGTGGGCTAAAGCAGTGCACTATTTGTCTTTTGTCAACGTGACACTTTTTTTTGCCGATTGGCCGTGTCGGGTGGTGGAGGGTTACGACACATTTATAAATAACGCGATCTAACCCAAAAACGTTGATTATGAATATTGGTCGCGAAAGCCTGCTACGTGTTAAACTTTCTATACATCGCTCGCGAAGTCCTGCCTCCCCGCCCCCCCCCCCCTCTTTTGAGATGTTTTTTCTCTTCTCACTGCATGTCCCCTCGGGTCGATTTGCATCTCCGAGGTGAACGTATTCATACGTTGTTGCATGCAACGGAGAGTGTGGCACTGCGATCGGTTGGATGAAGTCACACGGGAGCTTCGTGAAATTTCAACGCAAAAATTACAGATTGCGTGTTTCCCCCCCCCCCCCCCCCCCCCACAGACATACACACCACACAATGTGTGGCAGCATGGTTATGTTTAATGATAAAGTCTATCACGTGTGTTCATAAAGGTAACCAGCAACTCACCTTGGTCATTTTGCTTGCATGTTTGCGCCTCTGTTAAATTTGCTCGTCACTGCCTTGTGTTGTCATGGATGCTCCCCAAGCAAGGCAGGCTGCGTTTCCTTTGCTCGATCCCCTGCTGGGGTTCGACTGGTTTCTCGGGGCCAGGCTGTCTATGCGAGAGAGGAGGGTAGGGGGGGCGGTGTGTCAGGCCCCTTTAGCCTGCACTGTCGACCATTAGAGTTGGGACTATTAGTCGGTTACGTTGATTGACTCCAAATTGTAAGTGAATACTTTTTTTAAATCCTTTATATTAAGTTCGCTTGCTTACACTATGGGGACCTCATTTGCCAGTAAAAATATGATAATTGGTTCTTTACCCTTCTATCTTGCAAAAAGGTGTCAGTTTTGTTGCCAGATAGAAGGGTAAAGAACCAATTATCATATTCGCTTGCTTACTTGCGTACTTGCTTGCTTGCTTACGACCGTGCAAACCTTTCGGTCGTTTTTTAACCCACTTCCCGTGATCCAATCGAGCTGACATTTTGCACACAGACTCGTTGTGCGAGACAATTAATGTTCCTGAAAAAAAAGTCCAAATTTTTACACTGTTTAGGGAAAACAAATTAAATATTTAATTACCAATTGTTTAATACTGCAGACAATCATCTGACCCATAGGTGGCAGCCATCTCAAGCCAGAGGACGAGAGGACTCTAGCCGCCCCGATGCCACGCATATAAAGGATTTAGAGTGACAAACTTTGTTTTTACGGGTTATACTTGTTCTTGTGGTTCATTAATCGGGCCTCTTTCAAATTGGCGGCAGCCCCTACATCCCGTTTCCAGAAGGTGGGAAACCCCGCTACAGGCTACGCCCAGCACAACACGGCCGATGATGTCACTAAGCCTCACCCAGCACCTCCCATCCAGAGGCACACGTGGCAACAGAAGAGAGGATTTTTATCAAACTATTTTGACTCCTTGTAAAAAAAGGTGTCAGTTTTGTTGCCAGATAAAAGGGTAAAAAAAACAATTATCATGATTCCTATTATCATAGAGTTTATCTTGCCGAGTGAGCCATCACACGTGTGATCGACCTGCAGCTCTGCGGTACTGCTTTGACATTCTACAAGGAGGCCAAATGTCTGCTTCGACTGGATTTGATTTCCTTTAGTCACGAGCCATTCGCTCATTTTATTTCAGCCGCTCAATCATTTCTCGATGACGATTCAGCAAAAAAACACGAAACGCATGTTCTACTCAAGGAATGAGGGTGTTCTCAAAGCAATGTTTCGCGTTTCCCCTTCCGATTTGAGCGTTCCCGCATGAAAGTACTTTTACTGCACCTTTAGTTTCGTCCCATTTCAGCAAACCCAAGTCAAGTTTTGTTCTGTGTAACCAGTTGTGAGAACGATTAGGATTTATTTCGATTTAAAGCTTTCGTGACTGCAGGGATTCATCTTCTTGGTTCTTTCGGTAAAGTCAGACCTGTTCTCCACCTGAAGACGGCTGCTTGCGTTGTGGCCGAAACGCCGTGAGAATAATTTTTTAATGTTTTATTTTTATTATTTTATTATTTTCCTTCTACGTGACTTTACCGAAAGAACCAAGAAGATTAGGATTTAGTCTCATTTGCAAGAGTCACCTGGGCCACCACAACATGACGAGAGCAAGAAAAAAACCTACGAATTCAAAGCGTGGCAATGAGCACAGGGACATCGGTGCAAAATCAACTGTGGCGTGAAGCAGGAGGAGAAGGAGGAACACGTGTCATTCAGAAACAGTCGCCTCGCCACCTTTTACCCAACGGATGTGAACAGGCAAAGGCTGTCATCATCATCAGCAGCAGCAGCTTGCGAAGATGTCACTTTCTCTGTGTGCGTGTTCACCACAAGTCCCGCGCGTGTTTAGTGCAGTACGTGAAACCTTGCAAAAGGTACCGTCTGTTTGGTGTGTGTGTGTGTGGACATCGTAACATTACCTCTTTTACACTATGAGACATCTCCTTTACCAGTGGCAAAATATAGTAGTAGGTTTTTACCCTTTAAACTGGTACAAAACCGACACCTTTATACAAGGCATCATGTTTGCAATAACCGCAACACAAGCAGTCAAAATGCAAACAAAAAGAAACAACTCTGATTATGGTAATGATATGCACTGTCCTTGAAGTTGATTGGTCCACACCCGAGACAGCTTTTCTTAGAGCCTAGTCTCCATTCGTGTTGAACCAGATGACGCCAAAAGGCGTACAACTCAAAAACAGTGCACTATCAAAGTATTGAGAGCTCGGGGTAAGCATTTACACTGAGACCTTTACCAGTGGCAAAATATAGTAGTAGATTTTTACCCTTTAAACTGGTACAAAACTGACACCTTTATACAAGGCATCAGTTTAAAGGGTAAAAACCTACTACCACCTCTTTTATCGCCAGCAAGGGTTAAACGCCTCCGCTTATTTTTAAATCATTTATATTAAGTTCACTTGCTTGCTTGCACGCTTATGACCGTGCAAATCTTTCGGTCGTTTTTTAACCCACTTCCCGTGATCCAATCGAGCTGACATTTTGCACACAGACTCGTTGTGCGTGACAATTTATTTTCGTGAAAAAATTTCCAAAATTTTAAACTTTAAAAAATATTTTTTTTATATTTAATTACCAATTGCTTAATGGTGGCAGGCAATCATCTGACCCATAGGTGGCAGCCATCTCAAGCCACTCTAGCCGCCACGCATATAAAGGATTTATAGTGAAAAACTTTGTTTTTACGGGTTAATTTTTTTATTCTTAGGTTTTTTCGGTAAAGTCACGTAGGTAAAAAATTAAAATTAATAAAAGTAAAATAAAATAAAAATCACGACGTTTCGGAGGCAACACAAGCTTCCGTCTTCAGGTGGAACCGTCACAGCAAAATTGCTGTACCAAGTGAAAAGAGCTCTAAGAGACACGAGATTATATACAGGTTAAGGGGGGGGGCAGGATGGGCCGTGGGGGGGGGGGCTAAGTGAACCCGCCTGTTGTTCTGCCGCAGGGGATTAGGGGGACGGAGAGAGCGCCGTGGGCAGGAGATGATGGCAAGTGGTTGAAAAAAGTTCGACACATGGACAGGAGGCAGTAGTTAAGCTGACAAACGGGTTGCCGTGCAGTATACTGCAGTAAACTATAAGGCTGCTAAAGTTTAATTTCGGTTAAAAAAGGGCTAATCAATGGCTAATTGTCACATTATGTTCACGTGACAAACCTTACCAGTTGGCTGTGTCGGGTGGTGGTGGGTTAACGACACATTCATATTTACGTGCTCCCCCCCCCCCCCCAACAAAAAAAAACCTTTATTATTAATAATATAATACTATTAATAATACCGGATTGGTCGCTAAAGCCGACGTTGTAAATTAAATAATCGTTCAAAGTTACAGCCATTTGGAAATTGGCTGTGCAGTCGATGAGAGTTTTCTAGAGAGTCTTGATTTGAAGCTTTCGTGACTGCAAGGATTCATACTCTTAGGCTTTTTCGGTAAAGTCACGTCGGTAAAAAAGAATAAAATTAAATCATAATAAATTAAAATAAATCAATTAAATCACGACGTTTCGGAGGCAACACAAGTCTCCGTCTTCAGGTGGGACCGTCACAGCTCAGTCAGCGAACTACCGTGACTTTACCGAAAGAACCAAAGAGAATTTTCAAGAGAAGGGCTGCCAAACAACGGAACCCTTTTTTTGGAAACCCACAACTCGCTCGGCCAAACAGCCATTTGAGATATGGGAGCAGCTTCACCATCGCCCGTCATCATTATTATTATTAGATCACTAACAACGATCAGCTTTACTCATCCCGTGCGTTTGAGCGCCGTAAGGAAGGCGGCTGGCAACGCGCAGGGTAGTACAACGAGGAACCCGCACGGACACGGGAGCCTTGGGGTGGTCTGCCTGACCGGCATCACCACCGTGGTTTCTGGGCGGTCGACGGCGGACTACTTTCTTGACCCGCGCGGAGTGATACGGTGCGCCGATGTCACCGCGTGTGCGTGGGAGCGCGCGTGCACCTCACCAAACGCGATCCGCGTTGCATTGTTAATGGGGGGGAAAGTGTTTCGCTTAACGCGTTTTTTTTTTCGCTTAACGCGTTTTTTTTTGCTTAACGCGTTTTTTTTTCGCTTAACGCTGCACTTTCCAGGAACGCATCTACCGCGTTAGACGAGGACTTGTATTTGTGACCGCGTGTAAACGATGGCGGTGTGGGTGGGGAGGGGGTGGTGGGTGGAGAGGCGGTGTGGGTGGAGTGGATGTGGGTGGAGTGGTAGAGGAGGTGGAGTGGTGTGGGTGGAGTGGTGGAGGGGGTGCAAGAGGCGGTCCCGCATTGTAGGCCCACCCGCACGATGTCGTGTGCGCTGTGCTCCGAACACCGCCAACCCGAGTTCGATTCCCGCCCACTGCCAACACCAGCGACGATTATATTATCTGAACCGGTCCTGAACCTCCCCTAGGTCGACTCAGCCTCCTGCTGCTTTGTGTTAAACATCGCCACTGGGGAGACAAAGGCGGCCGGGCGTGGTTCTGGCCACCCGCCCTCCCTTCCGTAGCACCGTTCAATCCCGAGTTGCGTCATCAACCTTATAAGTGGGGACAGCCAAGGAATATCATTGGTCACCACACTTTTTCTGGCATAAGGTATTCCAACGGTCATTAAGGTAATTTTGGGGTGCTGATTCCAAATCTGGCATCAGTTTTTGTCTATCACATCAGGTTTTTGAGATATCAAATATTGCATTTTCAATAAAAACTGCAGAAGAAAAATATTAAATAAATGTGGATATCTACATAAAATGATATTATAAACACACTATCCTGAAAATACAGCACCATATTTTAACACTAAAGCAGTCACTGACTCGCAACAACTTGCAATCATAAGTGACAGAGTTAATTTCGCATAAAATCAATGAAAATGGGGTATGCCGATAGCATAAAAATGAGATGTGATAGAGCAAATCTGAGATCAGATTTGGAATCGGCACCCTGAACTTA